TTCCAACCCCTCTGTCATGGGCAGGGGTGCTACTCAGCTGAGGTTGCTCAGGACCCCATCCAGCCTGGCCTTGAACACTTCCAGGGATGGGGCACCCACAGATTGTCAGGGCAATAATAAACCTGTCCATCTCCTATAGGATGTAATTGACCTACCATCTCTTTCATAAATATATTTTTTAAAAAAATCTTCCAATCAAAATGCTTCAATGCATTCACAATTCTCTCCCCTGGGAGTGGATGAGAGAGAAAATGATCTACAGCTGACACATGTGAGTCACTTTACTCAGGGTGTTAATGGAAGATACTCCCACTTTGTGGGTGATGAGGGCTGTGTAAGAATTGATACAGAATAGAAACTGCTTGCTTTCAATGGGCAGAGAGGAGACATTCTGAATAGGACTAGATTTATTTTATCAGCCACACAGAAGTCAAAGCTGTTTCAATGAAGATAAATGAAGAACTCTATCATCTTACTTTGAAGACTTATTTAACCAACAGGCTGTCTTCTCTATGATTGGTGATGGCTTTACACATTAGAAACTAACTGAGATATATCATGACTGTCAAATCCTGGTATTCCTGTGGGTTTCACGTAGAGTACAATAGAACCACTTTCATTATCTTTGTGTTACAGATAAAGGATAATAAACTGTCTTGCAGCACCCAATGGAAAGCCTCTTGGTGTATAGAAACACTCTTAATACATGGAATAAAATTTAAGCCTTTTTTTTTTTTTTTTCTGAAAAATTGTTTGAATCAAAATTAAGATGACTTTATCTTTTAAAAGCAACACTTTTACTTTTTTCCTTCAGTTTTTTTTTAAGGGAAAGACTGCTTTAGCTACCCTACTAAAAGTAACTGCAGTTATTCTTGCTTACAGAAGCACATACTTTTTACTAGTTGGAAAAGGTTAAAGGTTTCAGATTCCAAATAAGTCACTCAACAATTCCAACAATCAACAGCAAAAACTGTTTTTCTACTTGTCCTATTTGAGCTCTACATCAATGGTTTCCCTTTCCCTGTAAACTTCTTCTATTTTCTTCTTCCAAATTCTGAAGGATTACAGCTCACTCTTCTTTTTTCCCACAGTCATTCTCACCTCTCACTCTCATACACCTCCCTATATCTCCTTCACTTGATTCCCATAATTCAAAATGGAAATCGCCTCCAAAACAGGAAACCTCCAGAGTAAGCAGAAATGTCTATGGAATAGAGCAGCACCATTCAGTCATGAGACAGAATTTCAGTCTGCTGAAAATTGAAACTTTGGACTGTCTCAGATCTCACCAGAGACTGAAAATAACTGTTCAGGCAGATATTAACCTCCCTTAAGTTCTGTGTCATTTTACCATTCATATGTGGCAACCTTAGATACTGTTGGGCAACCCAAGTGACACAAGATGCCTGTGTTTCTTCCTAGCTCTCATTTTCTTTGACATCCCTTCTGTTGTGAAGTGACGGTCTCACCCAAGCTAGAAAAGATATTTTTGTTGAGATTTGTATATTTCTGCAAGGCATCATTCGTTCAAGGTTTCCTTGCTGCCATGGCAGCTCTTTAGAAAGCAAATGTAGTTTTATTACTACTTTATCATGGTTTTTTTCCATATTTCATTCATTAATTTTATCATTTAGAGTAGTTGCCTTGGTGGCACATGAGCTATAACAGAGGCAAGTTTTGTGGGAGTGGTGCTATTTTTAATGACACCAATTCACACAATAAGGGCAAGCAGACATTGAAGAGCACAGGGGTTGTCAAAATCATCTTCAGGTCACAAGAAGGAACAGCAGTTCTTAAGACCAAGAATAAACTGAGGATAAAAACCCCAGTCTGGGATATCTATGTCAACTGACTGACCTTTGAGGGAACAATGTACCCATTCCTTGTACAACATATGGAGCTGTAGCTACAGCATTTGTTAATCCTGCAACTGGTTTTGTTAGTGGGGGAGCTGCAGGGGTGGTTTCTGTGAGGAGCTGGAGGAGCTCAGATGCTCTGGCTGCAAGGAGAAGTGGTCCATTCCACAGTTTAGTGTACTATTTAAATAGATTTACCTGTGCATGAATATCTTATATAAAGCTTGAAACTCTCCTGGGAGCATGCACCCTAAACACTTGCAAGCTCAGTAGCTCAATTTGATCATGGTGTTATCACCATAATGAAAATAAGCTCATGTTCATATCAGCTGGTTCACTACAGTGTGCATTTGTGGTCTTTAATAAATATTTAACTGTCTACTGTGAAATAATTAATCACTTCAGCTTTCCTTCTAAATGGCTTTCTGTTAAAGCTGTAAGGCAGTTTTATCTCCACAATAAATTTTCCCCTCCAAAAAGCAAGCTGTGTCAGGCAGTTCCTCTATCTCCGCTGTAATCCAGCCCTACAATATGTATTTGTTCAGAGTGCAGAAATAATTGCTTGACAGAAGGAAAACAAAGAATTTGAGACATTCAGGAAAAATAAAACCCAACCAAAAACCAAAGGCAGACAGTAGTTGAAACAGGATAAGAGGTGAAGTTTAAAAGTGTATCTTGAGGGTATAATGAACTTGTAACTGGACCTTCACCAGTGACATCAAAAACCTCAGCTTTGGTCTCAGTGATGGTTCTGCCCTGCTCTGTGGCATTTCCTTTCAGCCCTTTGTGACCCTGTGTCACTGGATCTACTGGGAAGATAAGGTTGCCATTAGATTCAAATAATATACAAAAGCTGTGGAAATTACACCCACATTCTGGACCTGCAGTGTGGAATTCAATAGTGTTTGGAAAATAAAGAGTATCTACACAAAGGATTTCACACACTTAGAAGCTTAGAAGTATCACTGTTGCTTGCATAGTCCTTCATAAAATACATAGAGACAAAACCCTTCACCTTTGGGCATCCTCTTTATTTCCTAAGGAAAAAAAAATGTGTTTAATGCAGTCATCTATCACTATAGGAATTGCAAAGAACAAATATACATTTTCTTATGTATTCTGCCTCTGGAGTTCAAGTCTTTCAGCCTTTTGTTTGCAGTCCTAAGCTGGGGTCGAGTATCTGATGCATCTCTTTCAAAAATCATAGTATTTTTTCCAGAACAATGCAGAAGAAGGTGAGATGGTGGCTTCCCCCTTCTAGTTCTGTTGTACAAGATATATATTCAGTTTTGTAGATTGCTTCTCACAGTTTTTATTTCATTTTCCATCTAAGACTTTTTAAAGTAGAAGAGCTCTAATATGAGGGAATGTGATCCCCCAGCTTCCAGCCAGCCATGAGATCCTACACTCATTCTGTTTTAACATTCTCCTCAGATGTCTGGCTGAAAATTTCTTCATGTTTCAAAATCCTTTTCTGCCCCTTTCCTCTCCCCTCATCCTCAACACAGAGAAGAGCTTTCTTGGATACTTATAAAGGTGTTTCCTGTCCCTGTGCATTTCAGAGAGTCTAAAATCCTAGGAGAACCCTGCAAATGTCAGTGTGATTGAGGTCTGTGGGCCAGGCAGAGGGGTGTCTGAACTATCAGTTCCTCAGAGGGCTGAGATGAGGAGGAAGTCCAGCTGGTTAACACTTGCAAGTTATGTGATATAAAGTTTGTCCAGATACACACAGAGGAGCTCAGAGGCACAAAGAAGGCAGAAAAACCCCAGTGCTCTGGTCAGACACGAGTCCCTGCCCTGGCCCTGCCAGTGCTGCCCCAGGAATGCCTCAGTCCCACGGGCCAGGAGTGGCACCCACAGTGCCCAGAGACACAGGACACATCATGGGACACAGACAGGAGCTTCCTGGGACTGTGCATGACTTATTATGTGGGTTTAGCAGGGGAAAAAGGTATCAGAATGGATAGGCCTGCATGATCCAAGGAGTGTGGTAAAACTGAGGGACAGGGGGATAAAAGTGTCACATGTTAACAAGTTCCTTGTCAGTGAGTTGTTCTGACCGTGTCTGGAAGTTTTATTGTCATATTAAATTTCTTTCTGATGTTTTTTTCTGGATGAAGGACTCTCTACTGCCCATGTGTGCTTGTGAGACCTTGGCTGGCAGTCAGAAACCCCACTCAGCTGCGCCCTCACTCCCTCTCCCTACAGCACCCAGGGAGAAAACAGAATGAAAAACTCATGGGTTGGGATACAGAGAGATCATGCACCAGTGACCATCATGGGTAAAACAGACTACACCCCGGCAAATTAATCGCTTTTAACACTAATCAAAATAGATTTGACTAGTAAGAAAAAATAAAAATTAAAGTATCTCCATCCCCCTTTCCCATTACCACCTTTCCCCCTTTGCTCCCAAGCCCTGTCCCCTGAGGGATGCAGGCTTTGGGATGGGGCTGTGGTCAATTCCTTACTAAAGCCCAGCTTCTTGATGCATTAGAAGAGAGGCAAGGAAAGAACAGCTGGACCAGAAAGTATTTAGATTCTTTCTTTGATTGTAGCTGGTGAAATTAAAATATAAGACTAGAGATGTCTAACAAATAAGGATTTGGGAGATTTTTTTGCATGTTTGATTAGGATTTTTTCAATCCAGTTGTCAGCTAACTACCTAATTGTTTCTAACTTACAGACACACTTTTAAATTTAAACTTTCTGCCAGTGTAGCTCATGATCTCTTTAGAAAAGCCCAGTGGAGAGGATCAGAAATTAATCCAAAATTAGCTGTTAATTAGAAATGTGTGTGAACTGATGTGCTGCACACTGTGGGTTTGAGTAGCACTTTATACCCTGCCCTGAGCAGAGCATCATGCAGAAGCTAAACACTCAGTAGAGATGTGCACCTCCCTGTAAATTCAGAGCACATAAACAAGCTTGCCCCAAAGTATTTACAAATTACAGGGAAGAGAAAAAAAAAACAAAAAAACATAAAAAAACCCAAGCAAACAACAAACCAACCAAGAAAAAAAAAAAACAAAACCAAAAAAAAATCAGACAAACAAAACCCAAAAATACCCAACCAACTAAAAAAACTCCCAAACCAAACCAAAAGAAAAAAAACCCACAAACTTTCTTTTATTTCTCCCTATTCTTTATTTTCAAGCCTGCATGTTCCAATAATCAGTCTTCAGATGGTACAAACTACAGTAAAAATAAACAAGTTAATTCAGAGATTAATCTGTAGGGGCTTTTCACAGCAGGTTTGTACAATATCTGGTGTGGATGCAGAGCTTAAAATTATGGGAAAAATAGAGATGTGTCACTGGAGGGTTTAGGCAGGGTGTAAAACTGGAAATCTCATGCAAATGGTCTTAGAGAATGGATACCTGCAGGGAAAGGGAAATGAGATTGCTGAGAGAGAAAGACAAGTTAGTTGATATTTAATTGATCAAGGCAAATATTCCTTCATTAGGTTCTCTTCTGTGGCCAGCTCTTTGCTGGACAAGTGACAAATGGTGTGTAGGACCTGGGCTACAGCCAGGGCACTGACAGCTCTCAGCACAACACCAGACAGGGATTTACTGGAAACACCAACTATTATGAAAAAATAAAACTGTATGAGATTTAGGGGAAAAAAAAATGCCCAAACAACATTCCAGATAACTGAGAAAAAGCTTTCAATGTTATTATTTTATAAACCAAAAGTCTTATTTTCAAGCATCTAACAGTTGATTACTGAACCTCTACTCCTGGTATGATACTATTCACTCACTTCTCATTTAACACCTGCTCCACAAAAATGAGCATTTCTTTATTCTGAAACCACAGAAATTACAAACAGATAAATTCCAGGAAGAAAATTACTACTACTAAGAAATCACTGAGTTGTTTTGTTTTTTTTATCTAATGCTCTATCTGCTCTCTATCATACTGTTATCACAGCTAACATTCATCAAATATAACGGATCTGCCAGAATTTTTTCTTAGCATTAAAACTCTCGGTTTTCTCTCATGGCAGGATATTTCCACATAGAGGCAAGTGAAAAAACTCCTTCTGAGGCAGAAAAACTTGGCTTAAGAACACCTTTGTACGAAATCTGTAAGAATTTGTGAATTTAGAGTGGAGTTGCAAGACAAAAACTGACAAACTGGCAAAGTTAGGCTTTGCTAGAAGTTTTGTGGCTTTTGCATTCATGGCCAAAGGTCATTTCCCCTCATAATAGAGGATTTTTTGCCCTGAAGTAAAATACATTGCAGAAAGGAAAATTCTCTCCTGTGTTTTCCTTGCTCACTTTCTATCTTTTTTAATATCACATGACTTTTTAGATTAAAGTTTCCATTTTATCTTCATATGTATATTACATGAGTGTCATGTTCTGACTTCTTTGCTTCCAAAGTTAAGGGGAAAAATAATTTTTCAAGTGTCTAGGGCACATACAAATTGTGATCCCAAGAGGAAATTTCCAGACATAGATGACTGCTGCATGTTCAGAAAATGAGCTATTCCTCTTTTCAAAGGGATTTGGATACCAAATCATGTATAAAATTAATGAGAATTGGGCATACTCAGCCCTAAGTGGCTTTGTAAAGCTTGTCCTTAAAATCCACACTGGTAAATAATGATGGCTTTCAGCTAGGGAGTTTCTAGCTAATCTCAGCATATACATCATAATAACATCCTTTTCTGGGTACTTATTTTATTAGAGGAATTAATTTCTGTTGTAAAAAACTACCAATATCTGCATTGTTTCCGGTGATCTAAAGCTGTTTGATTTACATAATATACTTAATATATTATTATTATTATATAATATAATATAATTATATATATATAATATAATTCTATATTATATATAGAATTAATTGTATTATATATTATTTATATATTCTTGTGTATATTTACATAATATAATACCTGATTAACACTTAGGTCCCTAAATCCAGCATTTTGAACATTTCTTTCTAAACAGAACTTTCAAAAGACATAACTGAGTTGAAGAAAGGCCAATAAAATTCTGGTCATTCACCCCTTATCTGTGGGGACATTCATCTTGATAACCTATGGCTTTTGCAGACCTGTCATTATCTCTGAGGCCCTGTGCATCCTCTCTGGTACATCTTGAATGGGGAAAAAACATTTAGAACCGTCACTTGTTTCTCTTAAGATAATATTTTTTCACTTGATTAATTGTTCCAAGTACTAAATATGACCTAAAGTATTTTTTGATACAGCAGAATTCTCCATGTACAAGGAATTGAAAGATGAAAACTGGCTCTAATTTAAATAAACAACTAATGAATAAATACACAGTTAGCATTTTTTTTATCTTTTTAAGCAGTATGAAAAGTTAAAGATGCCTACAAGCCAAATTAGTGAAATAGAGATATAATTTTGCTCTCAGTAAATCCAAAGTAAGTCTGGGATAATTCTGTTCTTTGTGTATCTCTGTCAATAAACTGATAATGAATGATAATTTTATGTAGCTACATAATGCTTGTCGTTAGAAGCACAAATAGAAATGTTGTATTATTTTTCTTTACATTTCTTTCCTCAAAAGCTTTTAAAACACTAGTCTAATCCAAACCCTGTTGCTGCTGGGATTTGGGATTATAAATTAATGAGAGTAGCTGTATTGTATCAGCTATTTAATATCACAGCCTGTTGCTGACAATGGCCTGAAACAAGAGCTTAGAGAACAAAGGTGATATCACAGAAAGAATGAAATTACCCAGTTTGTGGTAAAATTCTGGACTTTCAGCAATTTGTAGCTCAGTTGTTGCTGAAGCTGGGAAGCCAACAGAGCAGGTGCGTGGCAGAAAAGGATTGTGAGGTGTTCTCATCCCCATTGTGCCACTGGGAACTGAGGTCATAAGGGAATTAAATCATTTTCCTAGCTCCAAACATACACTTGCAGCAACCAAAGCTATTAAAGGGGAGGGCAGGACTTGGCTTGTAGCAGCTGTGAATTTTAATACTAAGAAGATTAAATTAGGTAATGGATTGCCTGAAACTCACAATAGGAAATACTAGTTAAGCAGAAAGCAGAGTTTAAACTGCTTGCAGACATCAGAAAGCATATATTCTAGGTGAAAATAGAAATACCTTAAAAAATGGGAAGAGATTTAACTTTTCAACACTTACTCATAGTCATACCTCCAAATGTGACTTTGCAAACTGTTTTCTAGATTTAATAATTAGAAACTAACTCTTAACCATGGACATTCCCCCCCAACTTTTCTCTCAAAATTACATAGAAGACTACTGAATATTTTCTTTGGCATCTTTGTCAAAATAATATTTCCTTTTAGTTGGTTTGCTGGTGAATATGACAGGCAATTGTTCAAAGTAACAAAATACCATGATCCTAACTATATCACTATATGTTTTTGAAATTTGTTTGAAAAAACAGCTAATAATTAGGTCACAAATATATTATACCATGGTTTCAATATTAACATTTTTTCTTTCATCAAGAGGTCACAAATATATTATACCATGGTTTCAATATTAACATTTTTTCTTTCATCAAGAGTGTTTTCAATGATAATAATATACCACATAACAGTCCATGCAAACATTTTACTTTTTAAATTAACTAAGTCAAGTCAAAAGAACATTTTTTTTAAAAAGTGTTGAAAAAGCCAGCTTCCTGTTCTTTGTGGGAATAAATAAATAGTTGATGCTTACAATAGAAAATGCCCATTCCAAGAAGTCTAATGAAATTTATATCTCATTCATGGAGATATAGTTAGGAAAAGGGAAAAAACAAAACAAAAAAAACCCACCAAAAATAAACAAAAAAATCCCAAAATAAAAAAAAATACCCAAAAAAACTCACACCAAACAAAAAAACACACACAAAAAACCCCCCAAAAAACCAAAAAAAAACCCCACAAGATAAACCACAAAACAACAACAAAATCCCCAAGTTTATTTTACTCCATGTCAAGGTTTGGATTCAAAGTAATGCACTTGCACTGTGGGTGAACAGCAGACTGGAAAAGAAACATAAGTCACTTGAGGGGAGCCCAAAAAGAGTGAGAATTATTGATTTCTCCTTGGAAAGAGAAAGCTGAGCAAAGATCACATGTTTTGTCTTGATCTACCCAACAGCAAGGTGTAAAGAAAACAGAATGGAACTCTTCTGAGAAGTGCAGTGATGGGACAGGAGGCAACAAGACGTGGTGCAGTGAGCAGGAAGTTGGACCATCTGACCTTTTGTAATGTTATTGTGGAATCCTCTTCTGAATCAAAGTTTTGTTCAATATTCAATGAAAACGAGATCTGAAAAAAAAACCCCTGCAGAATAAAGTACTAAATATGTGTAAAGAAATCACAGGTTTCTGACAGAAACTGCCAAAACAAAACTCAGGGGATGCATCTCCTGGCACAGAACACCCTGAGTTATGTCTCCTGTGATAAAAGACAGAGAAGAAATGTCTCACCAATACTTAGTCACACTTAGCTAAAGAGGGGTTTTTTATTATTATTTATTTCTCTATGAAGAAAATGTTAAGAAAAAAGTCTTTCTGACAGAGTTTTGTGCTTCAAAACAAAAGTGTAATTTCTTATGGAAAAATGATTGTAAGCTGATACTGATTTATTTTGCACAAATCTTGGTGAAGCAAGTGTCTGTATAGCACTATTTTAATGAAGCATGAAATATTGGGTTTCTAAAATTTTTTAACCCCATCTTTGTGGACCAATATTGGCTCAGCTATTAAACAGCTTTTTTGAGTTTTCTATGGGTATGTTGCAATAATGGTGTTGTGGTCCAGTATCAAAGGAAAATTAGGTCCCAGTTTTCCCTGCTGCCCAGAATAATTTCAGAATACACACTACTGTGGTGATGAAGGGAAAAAGAGCTGAAATGTACTCCCACAGGCATAGAGCTAATTATTCCAGAGATGAAAAGTAAATGGAATCCACGGAAACATTCATTAAAATGTTTGCTATTTGTAGTGTTTGAGACAAAATGTTGGTATCATTACTATTTACTGTGTTCAGCCATGCCACGTTTATGCTCCTCTGAAAGAAAATAACAATGCATCTCTCTTTCTGAAATGTGTTCAGGAGTCTTTTGTTGCTCATAACTCAGGTACAACCAGAAGACAAGTTACACACGGGGGGATTTTTTTCTTTTGCTTTTTTATTAAAATCTTTTTAGTGTAAGACCCAACCTTGTGAAATATTGAGTCCCTTCAATTTCTTTGACCTCAGAAGGAGATGATGTCACACATCACTTTAGCACCCCCAAAGACCAGGGCTTTGATTTGGACTTTCAAGACTTTCAGAGCCCTTGGTAAATCAGCAGCACCTGATAACTTTTAACATCTCTTCTGCTCTTACAATTAAAATACCGAAAAACTGCTCCATACAGAAATTGTTTCTGTATTAAGGACCAATTAGGAACAAAAAGAACAGGAACAAGAAGACTGTACTTTGGCACATGATTATTTATTCATGCTAGAAGCTGATGGAACTACATTAGGGGAAAATATATATTTTTAAATGAACAGGAGAGGGATTGTTTTACCACCAACTGATTCACATTTATCCTTGCAGTCTGCCTTGTTAGCTGTGAGGAATTGCAGAATTTCAATATTCAGTATTAAAACACTTCACTGGGGTGTCTTCATGACTGTAAACAAATGTAGAAAGGAAGGTGCATTTGCCTAACTTGGGAGAACTGGAACCCCTCAAGAAATGTCAATGAAAAAAACAACTGAGGATGCTTATATTGAAAGAAAGAAAAGTTTCTTTTCCCTAGATCCTGCTGAGGCCTTGGTTTTCGCTTTTTCATCCTGTAGTAAATAGAAGAGTCCCTGCCCAGGCATAACAATTTATGAGATTTTCTATTCTGCCAGACAACCTCTTATTCTCTGATCATCTGAACAGGTTGAGGAACAGAACTTTTCCTAAAAGAAATTATCATGGCAAAAGGTTTTGTTTTCCCTTTAGACTATATTCTAGCTTTGAAGAGAAAGATTTAAAGGTATTAGTGGAGTAAAAAACCAAAACTATACAACTCAGCATAAATAAGAAAACTTTCATGTAAATCAATGGCAAAATTCTCTGTGGATAAAACCCTGTCCTCACTAACAGTGATCAGAACTTGGGCATTAAATACAAAATGCCACAGTTTCACATTCAAACATCATTGATGCAAACCAAGGACTTGAAGGGTAATTCTTTGTTTTCTTTTTTTTTTCCAGACAACACTCACACTGTGAATTGCCCACTGCTCTGGTGTACAAAACTAGGCTGCAGCCCACAGGCAAAAATAAATATGTCAATCTTCTATGTTTTAAAAGATATTCAGCAGAGGACAGTACTGGAATTGGGCTTCTAACTTTCCACAGGAGCAGTGGCCTTACAGAAGCTGACCTGATTATCCCCAATAGCACAGAGATCAGATCACTGAATTGTTTCTGCTCTGCTTGAAAAAATTCATCCTGTCTTCCTGAGGAGGCTCTTCATGTATGTACATTGCTCATGAATGTACAAGTGAGGTAGCTCAGGATGGTCACCAAAAGGCAGAAACTGAGTGACTTAAAGGGCACCTTCAAGGGCAGCAAATGCTGATGTGCACAGGCTTCACTTGCACAATTGCTTTTTTCTATTAGATTTACTCATTAATTAGTACCCCAATACCAAACAGCTCCAGTTCAAGGGTTCACAGTCTTATTCTCCACTTTAATTCTTGTTGCTTCAAATATTGTGGCACTCCCAAGTGCTGTCAGCTCAACATCATGTAACAGGTACAAACTGATAAATGGAGAAGGGATTCTCTGAGAATACATGAGTCCAGGTTTTGAGACTCTTCCCATCTAAAAATTGGAGCATTGAATTGGATCCTCTCACATGTCTAAAATGACTCTTCAAACTACGAAACTATCTTGCAGAAAGATGAAGTCTGTTTTAATCCTGGAAAAGCAGAAAGAGACATTGGGCCTCAGGAAAACAATCCTGTGCCAGCTTTACTTCAGTTTGAGATTTCAGTTTTGGAATGGATACTGGGGTTGTACTCCTTTGGGAGAAGAATATCAATTTAAAATCCCCTCTGGCATCAGTTTCCCTTTGTCTTGCTCCAAATTGTTCTGTCCTCAGGGATTGTTTCTTTGGATGGTTTTAAGGCCACCAAATCTCCTGACACAGAGACCCAGGCTGACTGTCACAGTGTTTTCCAGGTTCCAAGAGCCACCTAAAATATTCAGGCCCTATCTTCTGTGATTTTTATATCTTTATTGCATCTAGCCTTCAGATTTATTCAGTTTATTAGGATGCTCTGATCTAGTCAATATGAGATGTCTGATATGGTACAAACCCCTGTACAAGTAAGCATTGAAAGTAGAATTTTATACCACAGATTGTCTTCATTTAGACTCAGCAAAGATATAAAGCTTTTTTTTTTTTTTTCTCCTTGAAAATACTCTGCACTACCCTGCAGTGAAATATGCACAGCATTCCCCCAGTAGAGCTTGCTGATTTTTATAGCTTGTTTTAACGTAGAGACTATTGTGATAAAGAGCAGGGGTGATATGACATTTGAAAAGCCTCTTGAGAAAAAAGCAGCAAAGTGGATGGCACTGAAAAATCATTCTGAACCTGAGATAATTTGAGCAGCTCTACAGCAGTATTGTTCCACTGCTATCAGTGACAGGTGCTTCAGACAGCACGTTTGCTAAGTATCCAAATATATCAGTGGTTGTCTCTCTTAGGAGAGACAGTCTTATCTCTGCTAGGGCTGACCTGTGGAAAGGTTATTCAGAGAAAATCATAAAGAATTATATCCTGCTAGC